TGATGACGATAATGTTGTGTACTGGTCTATGAATATCTTAGCTATTATTCTGATAATTTCATTATAAAGGTATAGTCACAATAATAAACTGTTCTGGGCTCTGTTTATATTGTTAGAAAAAAAAAAAAAAATAGTGTTAATATATATTTCTATTAATCCAAAAAAATTAATCGGCGCTAAACGATTTATTATTAATAACAATCAATAAATAGATATACTTGGTGATAGTTATACAGATTATTCGATAAATGTATCTATAAAAATTGGATCAGCTAAAATATGAAACCTAGACAATAATTGATATTTTTATCTGTAAACCAATAGTAATATTATTATTTCCTATTGTTCTTATAATTAATTGAAGTTAGTTTTTGTAATCACATAAAACGTTACCTTCTTATGGTACTGTAGAATTTCCTAATTCTGAGGTTGTTCAAGGTACCTAATATAGAATATGTAGATAGTATTAAAGAATTATAAGAATAGGACGTCATTTGCAAAAAAAGCGTGAACTCAATCATGTGGCAAACAGACTATTTTTTATATAACAAATTCGATTGCCATGTGTTTGAAGTTCAATTCAAAGACCATATGCTGCAAGATATTGCATATTGCTCGTCGCCATAGTGTCTAAAGACAAAATAAAATGTATGTTTCTTACCATGTGATTTTTTTTGTAATTTTGTTCTCATTGCATCTAGTAATATATTTTGTTTATTTTAAACGTGCAATACAAGTCGTGGTCGTCATTTTAGATTAAGCAATTATGCCGCTCTCCTCGTCATTAATTATCTAATTTTGAGTCATAATGGATTTTTATTAAGCTGTCCTTAATAGATTGTAAACACAGATACCCCATCAGTTTGCTTTATTGTAAAATGTCGAAGTTGTGGCGATATGAACATTTGACTTGATCACATTTTGCTGAATAATTTTCAATGTGAGATTTAGTAAATCTCACATTGAAAATTATTAATGGTTTTTTTCTAATGCTGATCCCTCTGGGAAACTTGGTAAATTTCTTACTTTGCCACAATGTATTAATTAACATGATTTTATCCTCAATATCCATTAAAAATATAGGAAAATGAATACTATGTAAATACGAAATATAGAGTTAGGGGATGCGTTCAATCCAAAATTATTATGTCGCGGATGAACATGATATACAGCCATGAACTTACATTCTCCCCTCTTACGTCGGGGATTAAAAAGGGTCTTTACACCCGAGCGGATCAGCATAATATTCGTGTTGTATAGTATAGCTGTCAATCTATACATGAAATCGTTTGTACTCACTATCAATACAACTAAGTCTAGACAGATGAAATTGGAAGATGGATTTATTTTATAACGTAAGCATTTGCTAAGATAGTGTTTTTGAAACTTTCTGCTTAAAGACATAATGCGTGCAAAGCCCCGAGCAACCGCTAGCAAGCGTATATACAAGTACAACGTTTACTCACGCTACGCATAGCTAAGTAACGCATGGTATGTCCGTACTGCTATTCTAAGCAGAATTATGAGTAATAAATTATGAAAGGACAGGCGAGTTCAAATACATTTTTTTTCGAATACCCTGTATATATGTATACTATATGTAACCGATGTCACTCTGTCTGATATTAGTAATATACATTTCAACAATGAAATAAAATTCTGAAATCTCCGCGGTAGTTGTAGTTTACGTTTACTTTCCCCATAATAAAGTCCGCTCTCTCATTTTATAATATTATTAATATAGATACACATAATTAGAAAACAGTCAGGTTAATAGTCGTACTCATGATTACAAATTTATTGTACGCAGGCCTAACCTAATAACATAGAAATGTGGAACTAAACGAACCTTCATCACCATGATAGTCATAAATGAAGTATTGTAAAGTAAGAAATCTCAACACAGATTGTATTATACTCCTAATTTATTCTAAGAGTACCTGGTTTTTAACTGACGCGGTAAAATTACTGTATTTATAGTTGTCGGGTGCGAACGTAGAATTAACCTTTAGGCCACAGAAAAAGCAACAGATTAGCGTTATCAGCAAAATATAATGTCCTTTAAGATTAATTTAAAAAAATTAAAAGATTGGGTATGATGTTGTTTCTATTTTGATTGTCAAAAATCAAAATAACATGAAGTTATTGTGTATTGTGTGAATATTATAGCATCCCCATTGGACTTCTAAAAATGTGGTTGAGAACAGTGATGGTTGGCTCACCCGTGATACTCGTGAATGGGTTCGGCCTGTAGAGACTGCCCTGCTCTGATAACTTTGACTAATTTATTTTGTTACTTAAGTAACTATCCATTTAATTACGTCAAGTTTTCTGTTTAAAAGTATCCCTAAAAATACCTAATTTTTTTTAAATAATATTAATTCTAAGAGCGACATGCAAGTTTTTTTCTCATTCTTATTGTGATAAGTCTGCGTTCCGAATGAATGGTAGAATCAAAACATGTGACTCAATAGTTTTTATATTAATTCTATTTTAATAAATATTATTTATATATTTCAGTCGACTTCCTTGTCTTGTGTTCCTTGAAATAGTTACCAATACTGAAAGGTAGAGATAGTTATAAAAAAAATTGACGTACAAAAGTTGCAAGAAATGACCTATTTGAATAATTGATAATGAATGATTGACGTCGGCTTGAATATCCGTGGTTATATCATGCTTATCGGCAACAGTAATAATTTTCAAACAGGCGAATGCCTCGTTTTTTTTAAAATTCAAATTAGTATTTTCTACTAGCAATATCGCTAATAGAATATTTTATGTACTACATATGTAGATCGCCATTTCATATGTAAATGTCACGTGAACGATAAAGCAATCATAAGCATATGAAAAAGTCAGGCCTGATTTTCCGATCTATTCCTACAGAATTTATTAAAAGTTTTATTTGATACTAGTGCTCTTTTGATTTGATTTTTTTATTTATTCATTAAAAACCAGCTAGTATAGTAGCTACCAGCTAATACCAGAGACAGCATTATAATTAAAAAAAAAAACAAAACATGAGAATATTAATGTGGCAAATAAATATTCTCATGTTTTGTTTCTTTTTTGAAAATTTAGTATGCACCAGTTTCACTATTTTCTTTTTATATCTATACTATAATTATAAAGAGGTAATGTTTGTATGTTTGTTTGTTCGTAGTAATCACCATGACTGCTGATCCGATTTTTAAAATTCTTTCACCCTTAGAAAGGTGCATTATCCCCAACGTTGTTACATGCTATCAGCATCAGCGCTGCTGCGGTAAAATGCTGAATCAGGAATCAGTTGACCATTGACTTTAAAACCATTTGTCGGGTGATATTAAAAATCTTTACGTCTAAAAAGAACTATCCAAATTATTCCCATAGACGGCCATAAATTCGCCACCTGCCATGTTGAATTCAAATGAAATGCCAAGCGTCGTCTTTACCATGACGTTTTTATTTGACAATGCCCCTGACTGGGGTAGTCATCCATCACCATATCACAATAATAATTATTGTACATTTTTTTAAAGAAGTTGGTACTCTCAATTGATTTATTTGGTCATTGGCTATTTCAGCAGTGTGACAACGACCTAAAGATACTTAATTATTCTGGTACACTATAATGCTAGTCATATCTGTCGATCGACCGATACTTCTCCCATTATCATACAGATTAACGTGAGTGAGGTACTTGTCAAGATTAGTATTTCGTAATAAATACATGTGCTTTTTAAACTTGAATAAGTACCTATATGGATTCTCAGAATATAAATTAAATTGTTGATGTGTGGCGTAGCACAGTAGGTAAATGGAGACTTTTACAGATAACATTTGCTAGAAATTAATTTTGAAATAATCAGTGTTAATAAGTTTAGAAAAAAGAAATATTATGAAGCTGTTATTAGAAATAAATATTTGTAAAAACAGCTTTATAATATTTTGTGGTTAGTGCATAATTTATTTTGTTTAAAATAATAAACTCTGTGATTGTATGAAGCTTTCCTAGATTCAATTAATTACCCAAGATTATATTTAATATGGAATAGAAAATCATATTAGGCCGATCTCAAATAAATAGGATAAAGTTCTTTATGATGCAGGGAGGCCTGAGGCATGTCATCATCATCATCTGACTTCTGCCACTTAATATATTTCGATATATAACAAAGTTGTGAATAAAGACATTTATCACGTACCTGGGTTTAATTATGCATACAAATAATTATAATTGTTTAGTTTATTATCAATATTAAAAATGTACATAAAATACAGCTTTGTAAATATATGTTTGTAGATATCGAATAAAAAATAATGTATATAAATTTTGTTAATTTTTTAATTAATAAATTAAGTTTAATTTAAGTAAAAATTCTGGTAACTTTGTACTAATTGTAGGGTTAATAAATGTAGAGCAACAGGGGGATAATATATTACATTTTGCCTGTATATTCTCAAGTGGTATGAAAGCGCCTGATCATATAATATTTGTCGGGTCGTAGTAGCGTCGTATGAAGGAAACGTACGTTCGCATAACGAGTTTCACAGGGTCCCGTAATCAACTGTTGTGGTGGTACTTGGAATGGCGACAATATTTAGCGTGCTCATACATGCTTTTACTCGCTTTTTATCAAGGCTTCAGTAAACAATATGCACGATAAACAGCTCTGGTTCTGATAGAAGTCCGGTATCGCTATCAGATTGCCGAATCTACAAATCGTTCGCTGTCGTGTCCCACGATTTTATAGGCGCTAATTGCGGTCGTTCGTGAATATGTACGTCTTAATTAGTGTAAACCAATGAAATTTATATGACTTTTTCAAATCACGGCATATTCACAGAGTACAGGTCTGACTTAGAGTTGAAACGAATTATATTATTAATTTTCTTTTTACCCATAAACTTATATGACAATAAGTTTTTATTATAATTATAAATACATAATTGTATTCTTACTACCTATTTTATTTGGTTGATATATATATTTAATGTGAGTATGTTTGTTACAGTACAAGAAATACCGCCAAGTCGATCCATCATTCTCTGCTCGGAGCTTGACAATATATCACACAATCTCAGAGCAGGCCGATTTATGACTCTGCACAAGCGCCGCAAAAGAAGACTGAAAACAAGATCTCTCAGAGAAGAGACTGCCTTGCTGGATGACTTGCAGCTGGGACAAGTGCAGGTAAGTGTTAGTTGAAGACGCTTGCTTGCGTTGGTCCTCGCGCCATGGCCATTCTCCGCCAGTCCTCGTAATGCAGCGTGTTGTACACAGCGGTGCCACAAATTTAAATGTCATATGTTTGTATTCATGCGGCGTCCACACGCACTATTTGTAGGTATATTCTTGTGACATATCGTCGGATATCGTTATGCCTTCTGAGTAGTACGCGCAAGGACGCCGTCAGCGAATGAAAACATTAATTTTATGCGTGCGATGCCGTACTGTACGCCGGACTTTTTATGTCACATCACTCTTTTAATATTAAACGAACGCTGTGCCGCGGTACAATAATAACAGATCAATTAATATTCACAAATAAATCCAAATATTTTATGAGTTTATATTTCAAAGCCAACTTCAACAAGCAAATCATTTAGCTAAATTAACAGCTGTGATTAGTGCTTTTGAAAGAGTTGTGCATCTATTTATAAACGTTTGTATGATCCGCAATGTTTACAACATATTGGAACATTATGAGGAAGTACCGCGTTTTAATGTTAGCACTGTACGTGTTACATGTGTTTAAGGCGCCCGTTACATTATAGGTTTTTCTGCACTCCACTTTACTACAGTCACGGCCGATGAAAAATCTAACGTGTGACCGATGAATAATAGATGTGATCGGCCACATTCAACTTTAAACTTTATTAAAATGTTATTGACATTCAAAATGGAACTTTATTTCAAAGTCGTTAAGCTGGATTTTATTACTCACTAAATAGTATTTTGTATTTTAGAACAGAGTGTACGAGCACTTTAACCATCGCAGTGTGTGATTCCGTGACTGAGAGAAAACGGACAGCAAAACTTATAGTGTAATTGCCGCCTAAGAATAGGTAGACATACTTACGTACTTATTTGTACGAGTCGACGTGGTATTAAAATTCCTTCCCGATGCAGTGGACATTGACAATCAGCCAAGAATCTGGTAAACAATACTGCATCTTTGTTTCGTTCGAGCGAAGCCATAATTTCCAGTTGCGGCTAGAGGTCAACGACTTTAGTCAACGAGACGATATGCATTTCTTAATGTTTCGCCTCCGTTTGCTGCATCGTAGCGAATATTTTCTAATTTGCAGCCAGAACGAATGATCGGGAATTACTTACCTTGTTTTGAAAGTGCTACCCCATTGGTATTGTAATAATGACTGTTTTTGCTTCTTTTGCAGTGCGCCCTGAATATGGCAATGCTGTGGAAGTTCAATGCTTTTACCTTAGACAACGTCTCTGGCGGTAATGTTCTAATACTCGTATTTTTATTTTTATAATGTGCAAACTTATACTTTAAAGTATCCACTCTTCAGTGTTGATACATTCTTACGACTATAACCCATGAGGGAATCAGACGCAATTGTCGGCGTTGTAGTGAACGTAATACCTGACATGCTCACATTGTCCGTATTAACCCATTATTCAGTCAATCACCAGCTTTTGGTAACCGATTTTTGTGTGTCGACTAAGATGTAGTCGACATACAAAAATCGGTATTTGTAAGATTTACGACCTTTGGGAGCTAAGTTGGGGTGGTAAAACACTGCCTTAGTGCTCCCTAAATTTGTTGATAGATGTTTATATCTGACATTCTTCATGCATTACTTTTTAGATATATTAATGTCAATAAGTCCTTATTGATTAAAATTACAATTATTTAACATACCAATTTTTACAGTGACGTTTTGTCATTTTCTTTTAGACGATAAAAAGTAACTTAAAACTAAAAAACAAAGCAAGTTATACAGTTAAAATAATTTCATAGTTATTCATATCCTAAATTTAGGATTTAAGATTTATGTAATTATTTTAATTTATGCACAGTTAAACAAATTTTTAAAATCTGTGTACTGGTTTCGGATTTTAGTATCATCATAATATAATTGCCTCTATTTTTAAATAATATTGTCGATACTTCAAATATATTTTAGTACCTATATATAATATATGTATTCGCTTAGCTTTTAGCTGTCTAGCTAATCGTTTGAACGAAAGTGACGAAACACTCGAAATTGTCAATATATAATTGTAGGTATTAGAATGAATGAATAAGGATAATCGTATTATTTATGTTACATGTGACCTTATGTTTTACAATATTAATATATATATATATACGTATACAATTTTATTTGATCACCGTCTCCAACGTATTAAAAAAACTACAATTTGTATTTTAGAAAGCTCGTACTCTATGGAATGCATACAAACTCAAAAGCATCTATTTTAGCCACTTATGAAATTTGAATTTATAAGGGAAATATGCTGTGAAATGGATGTTAACACCACAGTAAAATGGTAAAACAACCTTTCCCGTACAAAAGAAGATCTGAACAATGCGAACGAATGCACTGCAGACGTCGCTAAATTTTAATATAAACGTTAGTTTCCTATTGAATCTAAGTATAAATAGCGGTATATAACTCTATTACAGAATTTCTCTGTATAATAGCGTATCACAATACCACATATTACTACTAGTTGCTTTGTAACGATAATATATATATACTAGATGAAAACCCGGCTTCGCTCGGGCAGATATCGGGGCTCTGTAGTTATCGGTTCTCTAAGAATATTAAAGGTAAGCAAGGCATAGATTTATAAAGCTTCGTTCATTGTGTTTAAAAAAATACTATACTAAATAATAAATGCAAAAGTATTTATACAAATAATTTTTATTTTAAATCAACATTTAAAATAAATTAACAAAACATATAACTTTTAAGGTTTATTCTCTGCTAACCTCTTTGTTTTAAGCACTCTCTGCTTTGCCAGATATTTAAAACCAATTGCTTCATCCAAACAGCTTTCCCATTCTTGATCGTCATTTACATTCTTTTTTTTATTTAGTCCGATAGTATAGAGTCGCGCGACTCTACGGGATTTGCCGAGTTCCTAGTTTTGTCGCTCTTTCAGTACGACGACGTGGTCCACCACCGTCCTTTTCCCCTTCTTCCTCTTTTTCCTATCCATTTCCTCTTCCTTTCAACCTTCCCTCTCGCCCCGCGTTAACTATTTGCTATGCTCCCACTCTGGGGTCGAGCCCCATACGGGGCTTGAGGCTACAGGGACACCAAGTAGCTTAGTAATTAATTTGTAACTGCCATACTTGGTTATAGTTTGTTTTTTAATCCGGGAGACCAAAATTGACAGGTTCAAATTTCAAATTTTCAAATGATGTTACCACCTCGGCTGTATGGGCGCAGTTCCCTTTGCCTTTCCAATTAAGGATAAACAGAACCAAAAAAAAATGTTACCATCTGTAGCGGGTTAGCTATACTGATTTGTTTAATCGGAAACTTTTCTTCTAACAAATTAGTTTTAAAGTTTAATATGTCGTTTCCATAACAGAATTGTATAATTTACGTACATATACTAATGTTTTCACTACTGTCGTAGTATTATACAGAATAAAAATATATTTTTGTCGTTTCCGTACAAATAGTAATTTTTACAATATTAATCTACAAACCAACATTTTTTTTCTTACAATCAGCTAAAAAAGTCAAAGTTATTTGTTTTATAAAAAAAGGCAGTTAGTCTTTATTTGAGTGAAAAATAACAAAATCTATTTTATACAACAACCATATATTTATTAATACTTATACAGGTTTAAATGTCAAATTTTCAAATAAATAAAGTTACCACCTCGGCTGGTACCTACCTGGCATTATGTGTGTAATAATAAATAGTGAAGAAATTGTGTTTGTTATTAAGTATTTTTTAATAAGTTCATCAGAACAGAGAAACAACATTTGACATTGGACATTGACTTTAATTTTTGTAATTTATATTGTAAAACTTTAAGTTGGGCTAAAAAGGACTTGTATCCAGAGCCGTGAAACAAATTAATAAAAAAATATTGTCAAATTTGTCTCGCAATTGGCCAATTTAAAGAAAAAACACATAACTGTATACTCTTTTATCATAAAAAAGTGTCAAAAACTATATTTTCGCGAAACGTCAACGTCACCTGTCACAGTTCTTTGTGATGGATCTTTGGCGCGAACGCACGCGTAGTGTTGATTGGTTGTTAGCTAGTGACATGAAAAGATGGCGACTGCAGTTTGTTTGTCAGTGTCATTAGAATTTAACGAACTAACTCCTTAATCCGAATTTTGCGGATATATGTTGTCGATTCGAAATCAATATTTTTTTATGTTTTGTTATTCACATAAGGTTTCGTTCGAGTCTACCGTACCCCTTGACGAAATTATTAATATAGAAATGTAATACAATATTTTTCATACCTTTATTGCACCTAATTCAGTCTCTTAGAATCTGAATATTTTGGAGCAATACCAGTATGTAAAACCGTATGCAGTAGCGACACAAAATACAATAAGTGTTATTATAAACTATATAATACAGATCGAGGAACAGTTTCAATTGATAAGAAGTGGCAAGAGACTCAACTCTGTCCAGTGGCAATATTGCGCGGTAGGTAATATAACGTAGAGTGATTTAAAATGAAAAATATAATAATATACCGGATATTATTATATTTTTCATTTTAAATCACTCTACGTTATATTACCTACCGCGCAATATTGCCACTGGACAGACGGCTTGTTATTGGGTTATATATTGAATTTTCCTTCTCTAGAACCGATATATTTATATCGTCCCCCGACAACTTCACTGTAATATTCCACAAGGACTGCACATTTATTCTCATTGCTTCAGTACACCGCACTGCACGGCGAGTAACGATATTTGCTCTGTATATAAATAGGTAGCTCTATATATGTATATATATTTCCTTGATCTATTTACTAGAACTAGAGTATTCGATAAATAAAAGTATGGACTCCATGCTACTTTTATTTGGTTTCCTAGTCGTTTAGAAATCTAAACGAGAGGTATAACCACAAAGGATGCATATAGAGTAAAGCGTTTTCAGCCAGTTGCCATTCTGGAGGTTAGCACGCATTTACATTTTTTTACTATTATCACAATATTACCTGTGTTCAATAATCACATCACAAGAAAAGTTTTGTATGTATGATCTGCATAATATATAATATGGACTTTATTTCGCGTTCACACCTTAAAACTTTTTGTATGATCGTCTTATTATGATAAAGATATAAATTTTAAGATACCTAAGGATTCTCGAGTAGCTCTTTTTTTTTATTAAACCACATGTCAAGCCTTGTCTAGTCTAGATGTTAAACGTGCATTAATTATTTATGTACAAATTATTCAATATCAATATTAAGATCTTAAGAAATGAATAGAGTTAAGACACCACAACGACATAAAAAATAAAACAATTTTTTTTTTCTTATGTTATGTCCTATTGCTATTCTTCTCAAGTCTGAACTGGGCGTTAGAATTGAAAATAGTATTAAATAATGACTAGCATAAGAGATCACAAAAGATGTAGGTATTCCACATTTTGGTTTAGTTTGAAATGCAGTGTAAGATTTCCTGATACCCAAATTTCCAATTTAATAGACCAAACTGTAGAACCATAAACTTATATTACAAACTTCATTTATAATCTCGTCTGTAATATTAATATCATTACTACTATGTAATATACACATCAAGATTGATAAGTGATATAATACATAATATGTATATTTCATACTTATTTGATTATCATTATCTAATCTATTTTATTTCGCGTAACAAATATCATTATAATGCCACCGAGTATAGGAAGCTCATCAGTGATTAAAAAATTCACTAATTGTTATAATTATAAAGACCTAACCATAAATTTCACGCTTTATATTATTTTTAACTTGTTTTTTTAATATATAATTTTAACTGTATCAATTTTAATGTTTTACGATATATGTAACATCAAATAATATCTGAGGACAACAATAGGATTGATGCCGTTTTAGAATTTTTTTCGAGTATCAGAGAAACCGAGTTCCGAAATTTGAAATGTGAATCTTATTCCATTCAACATTTGGTTGAAAATGACTATAGAATAATATATTTAGAATCCGTAAAGGTAAAAAGAAGCCGGAAAACATTGATAGTGTTCAAGAAACTTAACATCTTTCACCTACAAGAAAAATGGAAATGTGGAAATTTTTAGTAAGAGTTTTAATATTAAGAGTTCAAAATTCTTAAACATGTATTTTGCTTCTTGGTGGAAATGAATCCGATTAATAATAGATCATTGCTACCCACTTCTGTCTTATATGTCCACTATATAGATAACCACGTAATCTCACCTACTTATATAGTTTAATTTCCCCACGTAATATATCACATAGTCA